GTGATTACATTATTTGGTAGAATTTCCTATAGTAGTGCAGAATCAAACCACAAGTGTTTTTTTAAAGATTCATAAATGGAAGTGTTAGTCTCCCTGTCAATTTAAAATTTTTTTATTTCAGAAATTTTTGCATGGTCACAAGTACCCATCATCCAGCTTCAAAAATTATTAGAGTTTTCCCAGTCTTGTTTTATCTCTTCTTCTCCCATCTTGATTTTTCTTCTGTTTTCTTTTCTTTTTCTTTTTTTTTTCTTTGATGTAATACTTTTAAAACAAATCCTGGACTTTTATATAATTTTACGCATATATACTTTAGCATCTATGTCTAACAGAATGACTTTTTTACAAAACCAGAATATTATTACCATCTATATCAAAATAAATAATAATACATTGTTCCTTAATATCTAATACCTATTAAATTTTCACATTTTCCTGTCTAAAAAATACATTTTTATAGTTGGTTTACCATTGCTTATTGTAGCTCCTAAGTCTCTTATACTAGTTGTCTCTTTTACCTTCCTTTTCTCATACCACTTGTAAGTTTTCCTGTAGAATGTTCCATGTTTTGAATTTCATAAATCTCTTCTTTCTGGTGTCATTTAAGTTGTTCCTCTGTCCTCCATTTTTCTGAGGTTTAGAACTAGAGGTTTAATAAGATTAAAGTTCATACCGCATGTTCTCACTCATAAGTGTGCCCTGATCACTGGTCACACTAGCCTAAGGGTGGGATTGGCAGACCCTGGACACTGCTAGAGGAGGGAAGAAGGAGGGGAGCATGTAACAACACACTGGGTATGTGGTCCACTATCAGGGTCGAGAGAGGGCCAGCTGGAAGTCCAAACTTTACCTGCATGTAACCTACTTATGTAATAAATCTCCACATGTACCCCTACAACTCTAAAATTAAAATAAATAAATAAATTTAAGATTAAATAAAGTTCAGTTTTTAGGGTAGAGACACAAATAATTCAAAGGTGGTGCTGGATATTATTATGCCAAAGAAGGAAGGACATGTCTGGTTGTCCCATTTTTTAGTGATTAATCTTTGAGTTTAGGTATCAGCCTGATGTATCTGTTATAAAGTTTTTCAGAATGGGTTTATATGATCCATTATTTTCATTAGAGGTTATGAAACGGTGACTTTTCTAATTCCTTTATTACTTCTGTATTAAGTCTTTAGAAAAGAATTTTTTTTAATTTAAAAAAATTTTGGGGTTTTTTTGAGTTGGAGTCTCACTCTGTCGCCCAGGCTGGAGTACAGTGGCACACTCACGGCCACCCCAGCATCAACCTGCTGGGCTCCGGCAATCCTTCCACCTCAGCCTTCCAAGTAGCTGGAACTACAGGTGTGTGCTACCGCACCTGGCTAATTTTTTTTTTTTAGAGACCAAGTCTCACCAAGTTGCCCAGGCTGGTCTCGAACCAAGCGAACTCAGGCAATCCTCTCGCCTCAGTCTCCCAAAGTGCTGGGATTACAGGCTAAGCCACCGAGCCTGGCCAATTTTAAATTTTTAAAAACTATTTGGTTACTGAAAAATAGTTTGTAGCAGAAAAGCAGGGGAAATGCTTCATTCTTTTCTATTACTTATCACTTTTCAGAATGAAGTTTTCTGTCAACTCCCAAAGTTGACCAATGAGTTTATTTTGTAGTATCAGTGTGAGCTAATAGGTTTTTATGTATATAATGTGTTTTAATTTATTGCAATGATTCTTTTTGAAACTAAAGTTGGTCCTGTACCCATTTGATATAATCTCATTAGTCTTTTGTAACCTGATTACTTTGTGGTAATCATCTTGTATATTTTCTGCCCAAATCGTGAAATTAGCCATTTTTCTAAAGAGCCCTAATCATCTTAAACGGAACAGTCTAGGAATTGTGTATGTTTATTGTTAATTTTTGTGGCTTTGGGCCTTTTCAGAGGAAAAAGTTAGAAATGCGTACTTTTTAGAAAGACAAAATAAATCAAGTATTTATATTGATAATTTTAATCCAAATTTAAGATTATAGGATTTTACTTTGATTTTATTCTTCCCTTTAAGATAAAAATCTTGGTTCCTGATGAAATAAGCATATTTATTTGCTTTACCCTTACTATATTAACACTAAGATTGCTGAATGCAGTTTAATATTTCCTTGCATTTCTTTTTTTTTTGAGTTGAAGTCTTGCTGTGTCACCCAAACTGGAGTGCAATGGCACGCTCCCGGCCACTGCAGCCTCGACCTGCTGGGCTCCGGTGATCCTTCCACCTCAGCCTTA